TGAGGCAGGTGGGACACGCTGGGGAAGTTCACAGATGTACTAGGACACTCAAAATCCGTATTGATTTCTTTCATTTAATTAAAATATTGAAAAATGTCACACGACTACCATATTTACATAATTTGTAACCCCCTTCTCTTCCCCTGTGTTCTCTCCCCTTCTTTAAAATTCATTACCTTTAATTACTATTGTCACACACGTAGACATAGGAAACATAACCTACTGCATCCATTTAGTGTTGCTTGTCTTACAGGTATTTAAGGCTGACCATTTGAGGTTAGCTAAGCTGCCAAGAGGCTCATCCCTGGAGGAAACTGACTTTCTCTCTCCTGGCAGCCATTGGTTACCTGTAAGCTCTTCATCTAGGACTGGGGGGTCTTGCGAGATTTCTCCCGTCTATGATGGCATGCCAGCGGGTATCATTATGCTGGTCTTGTTTAGCCGACTACATTGCTGAGATCTCATGGATGCAGCTTCCCTGTCATGCGCAGAAGACACTATCTCACAGCAAACATCTATCTTAACGAGGTCAAGGGCAATATCAGCAATCAACCTGCCTTTCCTTGTATCCACTCTTTGTTGTTGTTGTTAGAGTATTCATCCTTTCCATAAGTAATTTTTAGTTGGGTTTCTCTTAAGTCTCCTCATGCAAATGTATCAGAAAAGCAGCTTGATGTTGGAGTCACATTGGAGAGCAGCCGAGTGGGCAGGGACAGGCTACCCCACTCAAATGAGGTGCTCTTTCTGTGCACATGAATAGCTCTCCATGTACCAACTTCTGGAAAATTAGAGAATTTCCCTTTAAGCTTCCTATTGCCGTGGATACTCAAATCGTACATCCGAGGTTCCAAGGCTGTGTCACTGAAAGATCTTAGCAGTTAGGATGTGTGTATATATACCATCCTGAGGCTAAAAACAAAAACATGAAGATCCTTTTCTTTTTTCCCAGCTGCCATTTTCTTCTTCACACCTCTGCGATTAGTAGTGGTACTGACACAGACATTCTCCAGGATTCTCCCCGATCTGTACTCACTCATACTGTCCATACGGTCCAATTCTTCTTGACTTCTCTGGTCAAGCAGAGACTGTGCAAGGGAAAGAGGAGTTAGAAGTAGAAACGGCACTAAAAGTGGAGGAAGAAGCTTACATATGAGAAAGAAAGCTCCAGAAGGTACGGGGGGGGGGGGGCTAGGAAGGGAGCTAGGCAAATAAACACAAAGCCCAGGAAGCTTATACGCTTGTCTACCTCTCTCTCTGGGGACCCATCAGGCCTTTGCTGCAGGGCCTGAAGGGGCTTTGCTGCAGGGGCGCCTTGCTCCAGGGCCTGCATGGGTTTTGCTGCAGAGCTCTTTGCTCCATGACCTGCATGAATTTTCCTGCAGGGGCTCTTTGCTCCAGGGGCCTGCATGGGTTTTGCTGCAGGGACTCTTTGCTCCAGGGCCTGCATGGGCTTTGCTGCAGGGGTCTGTATGCAGTTGTTGATCACTCAGAAGGAGCATAGAGACTTCTGCTTGGAGCTTGCCTCCTCACTTCCTGCATGCCAGACAAGTGCTCCCACTCTAGGCTCTTAGAAAAGGTCTGATAGTGGTGCACCAGCTCAGACTTCACTTTGAAAGCATCCCGTTTTGTCTTGTTTTTGGAAGGTATTTTCTGAAAGCACAGGATTTCTAAATGGATCACTGTCCCCACATGCTGAAGACACTGTCCCAGTGTCACCTGGCTTGCATTGTTGGTTTTGAGACTCTATCTGCACATACATTGCTCCTCTTGTGATAATGTATCTACCTTCCTTCAAAGACCTCCTTGTCTTTTGTAGTCAGTAATTTCTCTATATGTTTCCATTTAGTTTTCTTCCCCTGGGATTTGTTGGTTTACTGATTCTCTGTGTTATGTTTCCATGTTTGTTATTTTTAGGTAAATTCTTGTTTCTAGGTAAATCTTTGTCATATTTTCCTTTAGGCAAATCTTTGTCACATGTTTGTCTGTTTGTTTGTTTTTCTAGATCCCTGACCAAGCTTATGCAGGACACTGCAACCATCTTTTTTACATTCTCAGCATCTCATTCATGTGTTCTAAGTCTTTTCCTTTCTGTGATAAATTTTCATGAATGCCTTGTTGTCACTTTAGCTCAAGAATTCTTGGAGTAAGTTTGTCTCTTAGTTTGTGGATTCTACTTATTATGGTTTCCTGTTTCTAGAATTTCCCTTTGATTCTTTTAAAAGTACGTTTTGAAGGTAATCCTTTGCTTTTCGTTTCCAGACTCTCACTTCTTTAAATGCAATGGGGCCTAGAGTTGTGAAATACTTAGCCTAAAATAATTAGCTTAAAATAATCAATGAGCAGAGGATGCTGTGGCTTGTGTCATCGCTTTGGCTTGCTCTTGCTCAGACCATGATACTTCCTGTGAGGTCATGTTTTTATAAGTTTATCTGTAGGCTATTCTCCTCAACATGTACATAATCAGGCACGCTCCTTTGCAGTAGCCAGAGTCATCCTTAGTTCACCATGGTTTTGAGGTGTTATTTTTCAGGGTCTTAGAGGTGCTGGGATCCCTTAGTATCCAAAATGGTGTAGGCTTGTGGACTTGTTTCGATCCACTGAATACTGAATGTCTATAAAAGCAGGGTTTAAAATGTTTGCATTCTTCAGAATTTCTATGGAACTCTGGTTTGATATTCTTGGTATTTCTTTGTGTGCATATCATCACTGTACCAAATCTGTTTTGCTTTTTAGTCAGCTCATGAATGCTGTTAAGAAGTTATTTGTAAAAAGTGTCCTCACCATAGTCTATATTGATAAGAATAGGAAATAGAAATTCACTAGGAATTTTAGGATAAGAGACACCGAGAGTAAATAATTTTTCATTGGCTAACAGCCGAACTGTCCCTGGCCCTGTCCACAGGTCTGTCCTTGCTGAAGGCCAGAGATGCCAAGGGTATTTAAACTAAAAACATCTTTGCTCCTGCTGTGGCCAGAGGCTGGGTTTGCTTCCTGTTATATCTTTCCTTAAACAAGTACCTGAATCTACACTTGAAGACATGTTGAAACTGAGAAGAGGTAGTTGGACATTTGGCCCTTGTGGTCGGGGCAAACGGACTAACCAGTCATCTTCTTCGTCTCGCCCCATCCTGGTTTCTGTGATAACTCAGTCCCAGACTATCTCATTTCCAGGGTCTCTGCAGCTGTCCAGGGGTCTACCTCCTCTCTGAAGGACCCTGTGGGTCTATAACAAACTCTTCTCCAAGCTCAGCCTCCCATTGTCCATAGATTTTGCTTTCTGAATGCACAGGAAAGTACTGACTCTGTGGAAGCTTTGTGAGATCATGAGCATATGGTACCCTAACTCTGGTTCTGAGGACCACCTCAGGCAGGAGGAAAAGCCCACTCTGAATCCAAAGACACTGTACCGCTCCCTGTGGATATAGCATTTAAAATCTTCAGGACAAAAGTGCCGGGAAGGAAACCTCCTACTCTATCCTTCAGTGTTTCGATCCTGTATGAGCATTAGCAAGATGGATGCTTTATTTTTCTCCTCCTGACAATTCAATCGCATTACAGTCCATCAGACCTTTTGAGATTCTGTCATAGTTCTTAGATGATCCAGCCTTTACCAGCTTACCTTTTCAGTTTAGATAATTTTTATTGATCTGTATTTAAGCTCATTAATTCTTTCCCTGGCCTTGTTCAGTCTATCTGCTGTTGAGCAATGACCCTGTCTTAGGAAAACAAAATGTAACAAAAACAGCAACAAAATACCACAAAAGCAAAGAAAAACAAAAAAACAAAAAATAAACCCTCTGACACTGTATTTTTTTAAAAACATTTTTGTAGAGTGAGAACTTTTTCTTGTCTGCTGCTTTGGTTTTTCCCCACCGTCACCTGGGCTCTGCTGCGTTGTAGTCCCCAAATAACACACAAGATGCTGTATTAATTATGAAGCTGTTGGCCTTGCTTGTTTCTTACTGGCTATCTCTGACTTAAGTATTTACCCCATAACTGCCAAACTAAGTATTTCTCTTACCGGAGAAAAGTTTCCGGGCTTCTTACCCCTATGGCGGTTACATCTTGACTCCCTGTGTTTCTCCTTCCCAGAGTTCTGCTCAACTCCTAGTCCCACCTATCTGGCTTCCCTATTGGCCAACGGTACTTTATTGACATATACACAGGACTTCCCCCATCACACTTTCATTTCCATCCTCTTGGTGTAATTCACTTCTGTGTGTGAATTAATTTCATTAAATTCTCAATATTAACATATCTATGATTATATGTTAAATTCTCTTGTTTATTGCTTAATAGCAGGTTTTCTTTTCCCCTTCTGTGTTTGGTGAGTTTTTGCTTTTTGTTGTTCTTTCTTTTTCTTTCTTTTCTTTCTTTGCTTTTGACACAGGGTGTTTCGATGAAGTTCAGGCTGGTCTTAAACTATGGATGCTCCAACCCCAGCTTCTCACATGTTGGAGCTATTGATGATGTGCACCATCATACCCTGCTGTGTTTTTTGTAATTCTTTAGTGACTACTTGAATACTAGACATTGCATAATGAAGAACAGTAGCATCGTCTACAGGGCAGTTGAGAATCAGTTTTTCCTCTGGGGAGTTTTGTGAATATTATTTCGTCTCTCTAAATTTCAACCTCAGTAAAGGGACTGTGAAACATGTCTTCTGAGAAGCTGAATATACAAAACATATGTGTTAAATGGTAAATATCATTTACTTAGTGACAGTTCCCCGCACCCATCTTTAGCAGGTTCTAGAGTATACAGAGTGGATTGTTTTCTGGATGCGGACATATTTCTTTCTTTTTTCTTACCAATTTCAAATGTCCATGTTTCATTAAAATGTATGATATGAAATGTGCAAACTAGACAGTCAAATCTCTTCATTGTCCAATTAAAATATTAAGATTCTATAATTCTTTTTCTCTTTCTATAATATAAACCACAAAATTGGTGTCATTATATTTAATTTAATGTTTATAAATGAATATGCAAAAATCAGAGGCTTTTCACGGATTTGTTTATTTTCAAAGTGGGAAACAATATGTCTTCAAAGTGGTATAAGGAAATGCCTTGATAATGATTGCCTACAGTGTGCTGATTCTGTGGAGTAGTGAGGATCATGCCTTATTGTAGGAACAGGTGAGACAGTATCCAGGAAAGATGATTAACAGAGGGTGTGAAGAAAGCTGTGCCCTGTAGATGAAGTGCTCAACCCTGTGTTTTGAAGATGGGTATCTTGACGATGCCAGGATTCCCAGCTAAAGAGAGCAAGGACCTTCCTTCTTGTTCTCCTCAGGACCTGGGTAGCATTTCTTCCATGTCTGCAACGACATAGGCAACAACAGCCCAAATAGCAGCAGCCACATTCATCTGCTTTGGATCCACGGCAGTCATGGTGTCTCCGTGGGTATGATGGAAGGAGAAATATTTGTATAAGTCATCATCACGCAGACTGGCTCCTGGGGAGGAGAAGGAGAATTCTTGAGTGTGGCATTTTGACAAGCATCGCTGAATAGCTGCTCAGAAACCACTGCTACTCCCTCACACCCTTTTAGTCCGCTGCCCCTACTAACTGAAGTGGCAAAGCAATTGTTCCCCGCGGCTGTCTTGAAGGAAGAAATAGCTACATCACATTACTCTGACCACTAAGATTTATGTGTCGGGCTGTGGGAGAGTTCTAGAAATGCCTTAACTTTGCTGACAAAAGGCTTGGGAAAGGGTGGCTAACACCGCATTAAGAGTAGATGAGAAATCAGAGCTGCACGAACCATAAAAGCCCTGGTTTCAGCCTCAAATCAGAGCCCGGAGAAACATCCTGTCTAATTCATCCTTCAACACATACTTGGACGGTCCTTAGGGAGGCCGAGTTGCAGTTCTGAAACATCTGACAGTCTCTGGCTGATTGTTATATTGTGGAATGCATGACGCGCAGAGAGGACTACGGAGAGCCTGTGTACGAGGGACTAACATGATGCGGTGAAGAGGACATGCCCGTCCTTCAACCCAAGAAGGAGTTTCCAGTACACTCCAGGAGGCCACGCTTTTACTTTTCTTCTCATTGTAGTTCTACCATTCCCAGCTTCCTGTCCCCTGACCAGGAGTCACAGTCCTGTGTTGTTCAAGTGCTCAAGATCATTTCTTGTTCTTGCTGTAGTTTTATCACAGACACCTATGTGCATACACACACACACACACACACTCACACACTCCATAGCCCCAAACTCTATAATTCTAAACATATTGTGCATCTTGTCTTTTTTTCACTCAAATGCCTGTAGGGTTTAACTGTCACTGTGCATTGCAATAAGTTCCTTTTCAGTTTTTTGTGTCCTATCTCGTTTTATTAATTTGTTAATTTTCCTTCCCGGGTTTCTGTAATGGCATGCTACTGTTAGCCTTCTTTAGGGTTGGAGGGTTGGAGTGGAAGCATGTGTGGCTACTTTTACTATTCAATTCCACATGTTTTCCTTTTAATTTGCATGGCCATGGCCAGTAAATGAATCTTCCTTTTGATTCATATGTCCTCCAACATTTGCTATTGCCAAAACATTTTTTTTTTTTGCTGTTCTGGTGAGTGTCAAACATCACTTCCTTTTCAATTTTCCAAGTTACTAATGAGATTGAATATATGTTCCTATATACATTTTTGGTAATTTTTTTTGTTTTTTGATGTTGTATGGCAGATTGATACTAATCTTCTGCTGATATTGTTCACATATATAATTTCCCAGCCTGTGGCTCAGTTTGCTCTCTGAATTCTTACTTTCGATGTAGCTGGATTTGCGAATCTTCTCACTCATGATTGGTGCCATGCATGTTTCATTCAATGATGCTTCACTACCCTTAAAACTGTAAAAATATCCTCCTATGTTCTATTCTGGAATTTTAAAACAACGCACAGTTGTCTCTGTGGGTTCCCCCAGCCTGGTCTTGACCCTTTTGCTCATCACTCCTCCCTCTCTGCAATTGGATTCCAGGAGTTCGGCTCAGTTCTTAGCAGTGGACCTCAGCTTCTGCTTCCATCAGCTACCAGATGAAGGCTCTAAGATGGCATTTAAGGTAGTCATCAATCTCATTATAGGGGAAGGGCATTTAAGGTAGTCATCAATCTCATTATAGGGGAAGGGAATTTAAGGTAGCCTCTCCACTATTGCCTAGATTCTTAGTTGGGGTCATCCTTGTGGATTCCTGGTAATTTCCCTAGTGCCGGTGTTATCATTGTTACTGTTTCCACACATCTAGAATTAGAATTGATTTTTTTTCTGCGGTATGTGAGGTAGGTTTCTGTTTTTATTTATAAGTAGTCTGGAAGAATTTATTAATGCGTGCTCTTCCCCATTAGTCTGCGGCATCAATATTATCATCTATCAAATTTTATTGTACGTAAAGGCTTGCTTGGGGATAAGTCTGTCTCTGCAATCTCGTCTCAGTTGCTACTGCCCTCTAGTCCTTGACATCTGGGAAGACTGCGTTACTCCTCTCCCCCCTCTCCTTTCTCCCTTCCCCTTCTTCTCTTCCAAGAAGTGTTTTGATTATTTTTAACTATATTGCCTTCCAGATAATCTTCATAACTACTTTAATATTTTAGAAAATTATTTTTAGATTTTTCCAGAACTGTATCAACCTGCATATTAATTTGAGGAATATATGAAAAGGAGTTACATCTTTTCGTCAGGATATTGTGGGGTTTTTTTTTTGCCCATGAAAGTTTTATGATGATTTATTTCTATTTGAGTCTTTTGTAACATCTTTAGGATTTTATAGCACAGGTGCTGGAGAGACTGCTCAGCAGTTAGTCGCACTGGCTGCTCCTCCAGAGGTTAAGTCCTAGCACGTGGTGACTCACAACTGTCTGTGTCTCCAGTTCCAGAGACTCCTAAGTTCAATTCTGGTCTTCGCAGGCACCAGGAATACACATGGTGTAGAGACACACACATGCAGGCAAAATGCCCATACACATAAAGTAAAAGTCCAGACAAATTCATAACACAGTCTCCCCCATGTTTTGCTGGGTTTTCTTTCCTTAATGGATTCTATTGTAGTAAAAGTTGCCTTTTCTGTTTGTGGCTATCCAGCCTAAATAGTAAGCCATATCACAGTCATCAGAAGGAGTTGGTTTTATTTATTTATTTATTTTGACTATATTAGCTGGATTAGCTTGCATAACAGCTATGAATTCACTCTTGGTTATTTTATAGGGCTTTTACTTTTTTATTAATTTTCTTATTTAAATTAGAAACAATCTTATTTTACAGACCAATCCCAGTCCCCTCTCTCTCCTGTGCCCCCACTACCCCCACCATCTCCCCATACAACCCACCCATCCACTCCTCAGAGAGGGTGAGGCCTCTCTCCCATGGCGGGGAATCAAGTCTGTCACATCATTTGGGGCAGGACCAAGGGCCTCCCCCTGTATCTAGGCTTAGAGAGTATCCCTCCATAGGGAATGGGCTCCCAAAGCCCAGTCGTGTACTAGGGATAAATACTGGCCCCATAGGCTGCCCAACCCTCCCACCCCAACTGGCACCCATGTTCAGGGGACCTAGTTCAATCTTATGCTGGTTCCCCAGCTGTCAGACTGGGGTCTGTGAGCTCCCACTTACTCAGGTCAGTTGTTTCTGTGGGCTTCCCCAGAAGGGTCTTGACTTCTTTGCTCATCACTCCTCCCCTCTCTACAACTGGATTCCAGGAGTTCAGCTCAGTGTTAAGCTGTGGGTGCCTGCTTCTGCTTCTGTCACCTACTGGATGAAGGCTCTCTGATGGCATTTAAGGTAGTCATCAATCTTATTATAGGGGAAGGGCATTTAAGGCAGCCTCTCCACTATTGCTTAGATTCTTGGTTGGGGTCCCCCTTGTGGATTCCTGGGGATTTCCCTAGTGCCAGGTTTCTGGTTAAACCCAGAAAGACTCCCTCTGTTATGGTATCTCTTTCCCTGCTCTCCTTCTCTGTTCTTCCCCTAACTCGACCTTCCTGACTCCTCATGTTCTCCTCCCTCCTCCTCTTCTCTCCTGTCTCTCTGCCCATCCTCCCAATTTCCAATTTACTCAGGACTTTTTTTTAAACTGCCCAAGTCTTTAGGATAAAAATGTTAACTAATGTTTCAATTACTTTTATGGCTACTGTGCTATTTAGGTTTTGTGTTTCTTTATGATTATCTTTGGAGATGCATTTTCTAGGAATATGCAGGCTTTGACCAATCTTCAAAATAATCACTGAGAAGCTGTTGATAATGTCCTCTCTTTATTTTAGTGACGTCATGCATTGTACAGTGATGTCTCTTTCTTTGTATATGGTGTAGCTTATAATTGTCTCCTCTCTTGCCAGCAATTTGTCATTTTTGTTGTCTTTAAAGAAAAAAAAGACAAGTTGGAGGTTTGGGGATACTTTCTATTATCTAGTGATTTTTCTCCCACTTGATTTTGCTTTTAAATTGATCTTTCCCCTTTCTTTCTTTGGTTTGTCTTCTTGCTTGAGTTAAATGTCTGGTTTATTACGTTGCAAACTCCCCTTGACTCTGGCATACTCACCAAGACTGTAATCTTAGCTTTCTAACCAATTCTGATTAGAGTGTTCTGTTCATGACTGCTCAGTTTTAAGTGCTATAAATTTCTAGGTTGACCTTGCCATTGACTTATGTTTTATAACAAATATCCCTAATTTCCAAAATATGGGGTTTCCTTGTTTAATTTGTACTATCAATTTCTAATATAGCTATCATATAATGTGGGTTATATGGTATACATTCTTTGAATTTTGTTTTGATTTGCTCTACAGCCTATTATTATGTCCACCTTTATAAATGTTCCACAGGCACCACATACAAAGATGTGTATCCAGTCTGCTGGGTGTGTCTCCAGATCTGGTGTATTGGTTGTGTTCTCCAAACCTCTCTTCATTGACTTGATATGTATCTGATCTATACGTTGGGAAGGTATAGACAAAAATGTCTATTTATGATTTTTTAATGTGTTTTCTATGTTATAGCTATTCTATAGCTTCAGAAATGCCTTTCTATATATTTCAAAGTTATGCTCTGAGGAATGCATGAATTCAGAATTCTATCTGCCTGGTAGATTGAACTTATATCGGTTTGTGGTTATCCTCTTCATGTGTAGCAATACACGTCCTTATTTTTTTAATAACAGAAACATTAAGTAATAATTCAATGTCTCTTGTGGTTACTGAGATAGGATTTGTAATTTTCCCACCTTTAATCAGGCTTCTTCTATGTTTAAGATGGTCCAGATGCTGAACACTACACTGCCTGCCCTTCCGCATCATTTTAAGCCTCTGTCCTTATATTCTTGGTGTTCTCTCTAATGAAAGGGTTGTTTTTGGTGTTTGTTTTTTGTTTATTTGTTCTAGGTTTTTTGTTTTGTTTTGTTTTTTCAAGACAGGGCTTTTCTGTTTTGCTTTGAAGGCTGTCCTGGAACTCGCTCTGTAGACCAGGTTGGCCTC